TCGATAAAATTTTATCTTTTTAGAAAATGTTCAATAGAATTTTCTCTTTATAAAATTTTTTCTTTATAGACAAATTTTTGGTAAAAATTTCTCTGTATAAACAAATTTTCGATAAAATTCTCTCTTCATAGACAAATTTTCGATAAAATTTTCTCTTTATAGACAAATTTTTGATAAAATTCTCTCTTTATGGAAAAATTCGATAAAATTCTTTCTTTATAGAAAAATCTCGATAAAATTTTTTGTTTATAGACAAATTTTCGATAAAATTCTCTCTTCATAGACAAATTTTCGATAAAATTTTCTCTTTATAGACAAATTTTTGATAAAATTCTCTCTTTATGGAAAAATTCGATAAAATTTTCTCTTTATAGAAATTTTTCGATAACATTTTCTTCTGGAATATTTTTCGTTCTCTACTTGTTAATATAATTTCCTATCAGGATATTACATCTCTTTCACATAAAGTTTGTTGTACTTCCTGTCGCCCATTTAGACAAACCCCACTGCCACAACTGTAAATTTAATATTACCCTGTATTTAGGTATATAAACCCCCACCATTGCCTTGTCCCCCATCCCCATCTCTACTTCACACATTTTATTTATTTTCATCATCAACATTGTTGTTTTGTACTTCAGCTGGCTGGTTTTATAAAAACAAACTCATGAATATATTTTTATTTTTTGCCCAGACACACCCCAACATTTGTGGGGTTGTTTAAATGGAACTAGAGCATTTTTATTTCCATGTATATTCATTTATCGGTACTCTAATATAGTCACCAGGGTGGTATCCTCTTTATTGGCTGATGTGCATGAAAAGTAGTTAAAAATGAGGAGACGCTACTGTTTTAACTTTTGCACGTGCACAAAATTTTTCCATACCATCATCATCGTCATCAAGTGGAATCTTCTTCTATATTGTATGATTTTCATTACGACTACATGTTTCATTATTGCCTGCTGTTTTGCTCCTCTTCTCCACTTTTTGTTGTTGCTGTAGTTCCTTTAGGGGATTTAGAATGAATTTGTATGGGTTTGTTAGTGCGTGTGAATGTTTTTTCTTTTTGAATGAAGGTCTGACATTTATTTGTTTGATTATCTGGTAGTTGGTTTGAAGGAGTAGGATGGGGGTTTTTATGTATATATTTTTTTCTCTAAAGCTTAACTTTTTGAGTTTATTGGAATTCTTTTGTAGATACATACATATATTTGTTTCTACTATGTAGAAAATTACTTTGCTTGTTGAGTCTTTAAAGAAAATTTAATGTATCAGAATTTCATTTGAGAATTTCAATTTGAGAAAACATTTATTACCAAGTAACGAATCAGACTTACAATGGTAATGCATGGACTTTTCACTCATCTATATATATATAAAAGAGTAGCGTTACTGATTGACAGATTCATCATCGCACAGCCCAAACGGCTGAACCTAGAATCATGAAATTTTGACAGTAGATGTGTTTTTGGTTATATAGATCCACTAAGGAGGGATTTTTGGAAATTTGTACATTTACGGGTAAAAAGGGGGAAAAAAAACGGGTAAAACAGGTTTTCTGAATTATCTTACACGATATTAGTGATACAAGAAAAATTTTAAATGAAGATGTATCTACTCTTAAAATGAGCCGAGGGGTGTCTGGTACTTTTTTTTAAATTCGTACTTTTAAGGGGTAAAAATGTGTAACAAAGGTGATTTTGGTACCTTTTTTGGCCCTTTATAACTTTTGAACTAATTAACATAATAAAATTTTTATAAATATTTGTCCTTTTTGGGTGTAAAAGGGAGAAACCTGTATTTATGGTACTTTTTTTTAGCACATTAAGAAAACTTTTTCGGTTTATTGAATTATTCCTATTAAATTACGGACTAACTCTGTAATATTTATTGTAATAAAATTTTTGCTATTTCACTGGGGAAAAAAGTACCAAAAAGGGGGAAAAAACGGGAAATTTAATTTTATTCATACTCATTGAGCCAACTTGTATAAAATTTGAAAAAGTGGTTTATTTACTCACACAAAATAAGCTGTTGGTATATTATTCTGGAATTCGAGTACTAAGGCCTATATAGGACCAAATTCGATTAAATTGGTTGGTACTTTTTGAAAGCACTATTTTTCTGGAACAAATGAATGCAGAATTGAATCGTTTGAGATTTAAATACGGAACATTTTGTAAACTTAATTCTCCAAAAAGTATATTTCTAAGCGAAAAGGGGAAAAATTGTACTCTTCTTATTATTACTTTCCACTTAGGTAAAATTTATTCCACTTTTGGTACTTTTTCTTTCTTCAAATGATGCTCTTTGTAAGTTCTTTAATATGAATTCAAAACACATGATTATTATACATACACGGTCCTCATTGAATAAGATTCTTTAAGAGAGAACTTTTTAGTACTTTTATGTCATACTTTTTTTAATTTTCTAAAATATTCAACCTAGGAACGAACATTAATCTTAACATACGTGGTCTTGATTGAAAAATATTCTGTAAGTGGGTACTCTTTAGTACTTTTCCATTCTTCAAATGGTACCTTTTGGATTCTCTATAATGGTTAACCGGAACACACGGTCCTTATAAAATGAGAATTTATTGAGAGAGATTTTTGTACCTTTTCGTTTTTCCGATGGTACTTTTTGATATTTTTACGATATTGAACATAGCTATTGAAAATAAATTTGAAAATGTAGGGACCTTAGTGAATGAGTATCTACTGAAAGGGACTTTTGGTACTTTTTCATTCATCAAATTATATTTTTTGAATTGTATATAATATTGAACACATAAACATAAAATATTTTGGATTAAATGATAATCTATTAGAGGTATTTTATAGTACTTTTTGCGAATTTAATCACGTGATATTGAACGTATAAAACTGAAACTTAAAAAAAAATTTAATCAATTTCAATTTTCTATAATAGTAAACAAAATTTTGTATGTATTTAATTTAAGTTAGGGTAGCGAAGCACCCAGGGTATGCTAGTTAAATAGAGAAGCTTAAGCCATCCATTAATGATTTAACCGTGACTGATATTAATCAGCGACGAATTAAATTAAATCCTTATTATTAATTCTGGTATCAGTCTGTCTGTGTGAAAAACTATTTAAAGGTATTATCCGTTTCAGAAAAATTCCACTATCAACCTTTACTTTTTTGGACTTACTGTTATAAATTCCATGATATCACTTAAAATCTCAATTATACATATAATCATGTTGCAAAATAATTTTCATCATGATCTAATTCTCATGATAAAAATAATTTGTTTTCTTATTTATTCAGTTATTATTCATTTTCATTTATTTTTAATAAATATTTGTTTTTACTGGTTGTTTAAATATTGACTACAATTCATTTAAAATTATTTAAGACACAAAACCCCTGTGGCGTATACGCGTTATTAATATTTTGTCTGTTTTTTTAGTCGTTTAATTTTCAAAATTTAAAAGCAAAAAAATTATATTTATTTTTATTGAACAGTGGAAATGAAAATGAAAATGTTTTTTAAATCTCATTATAGAAATTTTTCTTTAACATTTTCTCTTTATAGAAAAATTTCAATAAAATATAATTTTTATAGAATACTAGCTATACCCAGTGTGCTTTGCTACCCTAAAAGCAATATAAATAAAAAATCTTCTTAATAATTTTGAAGATTCTAACTGTAATGTTTTCCAGAGATACATTTTTTCCGAACGTTAATTAAGATTTTAATGTAATCGATGACAAATTAAAAAAAAAATCTAATATTTTCCCAGATATACGAAATTTTGTATTTAATTCATATAGGGGGTGCCAAGACCGCATTGAAAGTCCGCCCGTTATTCTCTAAATGTTCACATTAATGTCAAAGATCTTCATGTAGAATTTGAAGATTCTAGCTCTAATAGTTTCTCAGCTATACGAATTTTTCTATTTAATTCATATGGGAACTCACAGCCCCCAGATGAAAGTCCGCCCTTTTTTTCTTCAAAATGTTCATATGTATAATAAAGTTCTTCTTGCAATATTTGAAGAATCTTGTTCTATTAGTTTCCCAGAAAAGCGAAATTTTGTATTTACTTCATATGTGAGGTGCCAAGCCCCCCATTGAAAGTCCGCCCGTTATTCTCTGAATGTTCACATGAATGTCAAAGTTCTTCAATTAAAATTTGAAGATTCTAGCTCTAAAGCTACGTTCAGACCTATCAAACATTTGATGAAAAAGACGTAACCACTAATTTTTGTAATTCTTTTTTTGATTCTGCATGATTTTTGTAATTGCAAATATTGTCGAAACAAATAATAAAGACGTTCTGAACTGATGTCGTCAAAGATATATTATGTTTGTGCAAATAAATATATATTTTAAGGAAATCAAAATGTAGATTTTTTAGGGGTCACGTCATTTTCGTCAAACATTTGATAGGTGTGAACGTAGCTTAATAGTTTCTCAGATATAATAATTTTCCTATTTAATTTATATGGGGGCTCCAAGTATTTATATGGGGGCTCCAAATGTTCAGATGAATATTTAAGTTCTTAGTGCAAAATTTGAAAAATTTAGTTCTATTAGTTTCCCAGATAAACCATTTTTTGTATTTTATTAATATGGGAGGTGCTGCTCCCCTTATGGGTAGTCCGCCAATTTATTTCCCAAAATGTTTACATGGATGTTAAAGTTACTCGTGCAAATTTTTAATATTCTAACTATAATAGTTTCCAAGATAAACGAATTTTTGTATTTAATTTATATGGGAGGTGCCACGCCCCCTAATGCTAATCCGCCCATTTTTTGTCTTAAATAATTATATTGATACTAAAGTTGCTCCGACAAAATTTGAAGACTCTAACTATTATATTATCTCAGATATACTAATTTAATATTTTCTTAATATGGGCGTGGCACGTCGCCCACATGAAATTTCAACATAAAAAGTAGCCTATAGTTCAGTTTTAGTTCTTCTTAGAACTAGAACATAAAAAAACAATTTATGATTTTTAAAATTTATTAATCTTTATTTCTCTCTTAATGACTTATAAAATTCAAATTCCGTTTTAAAATCAAATGGTTTTATGGCATCTATATAAATGGATTTAATGGTGGGCGCAAGAAAATAATAATGAAATATACCTTTATATTTGGTCTCAATCGATGTAAAGGTTACCAGTGGTAATTCAGTTAAAATCTGCCTTAAATTGTCATAAGTTAAGCCATCACAATGGTAAAGAGATAACTGGTTTAGATTAGATAAAATCGAGAAATTTTCTATAACTTCAAAGCTGGCATAATGAAATGTCAGTGTTTTAAGTCGTTGGCAAGATACACCCAAAGCTATAATATCCTGGTTAGTAACAGGATGAAATAATGTGATCGATAGTGATTGTAGCTGAGTAAAGAGGCCCATGAACTGTGTATTGAGAGTGGGCATATAGATGTCAAGATTTTCCATACTGTTACTTAGATCCATGGGTAATTTAGCTTTCTTAATAAAATCATCCGCAGGTCCATATTTAACTTTATGCATGAGACCACTTCTAAGGGAAAACGTTTTCAGTTTCTTTAGCGACAGCAAGTGTTGCACCTCAATATCGAAACCCAAACGTAAGAGTTTATGTTTGCTATTGCAACAACCTAAGAAGGAAAGTGTTTCCAATTGCGGACACATTTGAGTCAATAATTGTATTTGTTCCTTGGTAATTAGTAAAAAATTGTATTTGATACAGGTTAGATTATTCAAGTTTGGAGTTAAATTTAAAGCACTGCCATGACTTTCGCTCAACTGCTCTACATCCAGTCCATAAATTCGTAAAAAATAATCGTACTCTTCGAAAGACAAATTAATTTTCAAACGTTGTTCATTGTAATATTTCAGCTGTATTGTTTCCGAGTACTTTTTTATTTTAATTTTTTTAGGGATCCATTTTTGACATATAAAATTGCGATAAACAAATTGCAACTGTGGCGAAACATTAGCAAAACTTAACTGATCACCAATTTCGAGAAATTGAAAAAAATATTTGAGTACATCTAAATTCTGTGAGAATTTATCAAAATCACTTATTTCAGGAGATTTTATTAGAGATTTTTTGCTTTCCATTGAAATGGATTTTGTTATTGTTAATACTTTCACGTTTTTATAAAGACTGATTACACATTGTTGTATATTCTTCACTGAGAATAACAAAAACCGCAAAGTCTAAATTTGAAATACTTATTCTCATTATTCATATAAATAAGGTGTCCAGTTATTTTTAGCAGATTATTTAATTAGTTGTCTTATAAGCAAATTTCATATAAAGAATTTTTATTTATTATAAATTAATTTGTAATTTACTTAGAGAAACAAAACCGCAGTTTTATGTGTAAATATTCCTTTGTTTAGATTAGAAATATCTCTCTTAATAAGAGATATGTTCATTTTAATAAAAATACTCACTAGTTTCTAGTTCAATTCTAGTTCAGTTCTAGTTCAGTTCTAGTTCAGTTCTAGTTCAGTTCTAGTTCAGTTCTAGTTCAATTCTAGTTCAGTTCTAGTTCAGTTCTAGTTCAGTTCTAGTTCAGTTCTAGTTCAGTTCTAGTTCAGTTCTAGTTCAGTTCTAGTTCAGTTCTAGTTCAGTTCTAGTTCAGTTCTAGTTCAGTTCTAGGTCAGTTCTAGGTCAGTTCTAGTTCAGTTCTAGTTCAGTTCTAGTTCAGTTCTAGTTCAGTTCTAGTTCAGTTCTAGTTCAATTCTTGTTCAGTTCTAGTTCAGTTCTAGTTCAGTTCTAGTTTAGTTCTAGTTCAGTTCTAGTTCAGTTCTAGGTCAGTTCTAGGTCAGTTCTAGTTCAGTTCTAGTTCAGTTCTTGTTCAGTTCTAGTTTAGTTCTAGTTCAGTTCTAGTTCAGTTCTAGTTCAGTTCTAGTTCAGTTCTAGTTCAGTTCTAGTTCAGTTCTAGTTCAGTTCTAGTTCAGTTCTAGTTCAGTTCTAGTTCAGTTCTAGTTCAGTTCTAGTTCAGTTCTAGTTCAGTTCTAGTTCAGTTCTAGTTCAGTTCTAGTTCAGTTCTAGTTCAGTTTAGTTCAGTTCTAGTTCAGTTCTAGTTCAGTTCTAGTTCAGTTCTAGTTCAGTTCTAGTTCAGTTCTAGTTCAGTCAGTTCAGTTCTAGTTCAGTCCTAGTTCAGTTCTAGTTCAGTTCTAGTTCAGTTCTAGTTCAGTTCTAGTTCAGTTCTAGTTCAGTTCTAGTTCAGTTCTAGTTCAGTTCTAGTTCAGTTCTAGTTCAGTTCTAGTTCAGTTCTAGTGCAGTTCTAGTTCAGTTCTAGTTCAGTTCTAGTTCAGTTCTAGTTCAGTTCTAGTTCAGTTCTAGTTCAGTTCTAGTTCAGTTTAGTTCAGTTCTAGTTCAGTTCTAGTTCAGTTCTAGTTCAGTTCTAGTTCAGTTCTAGTTCAGTTCTAGTTCAGTTCTAGTTCAGTTCTAGTTCAGTTCTAGTTCAGTTCTAGTTCAGTTCTAGTTCAGTTCTAGTTCAGTTCTAGTTCAGTTCTAGTTCAGTTCTAGTTCAGTTCTAGTTCAGTTCTAGTTCAGTTCTAGTTCAGTTCTAGTTCAGTTCTAGTTCAGTTCTAGTTCAGTTCTAGTTCAGTTCTAGTTCAGTTCCAGTTCAGTTCTAGTTCAGTTCTAGTTCAGTTCTAGTTCAGTTCTAGTTCAGTTCTAGTTCAGTTCTAGTTCAGTTCTAGTTCAGTTCTAGTTCAGTTCTAGTTCAGTTCTAGTTCAGTTCTAGTTCAGTTCTAGTTCAGTTCTAGTTCAGTTCTAGTTCAGTTCTAGTTCAGTTCTAGTTCAGTTCTAGTTCAGTTCTAGTTCAGTTCTAGTTCAGTTCTAGTTCAGTTCTAGTTCAGTTCTAGTTCAGTTCTAGTTCAGTTCTAGTTCAGTTCTAGTTCAGTTCTAGTTCAGTTCTAGTTCAGTTCTAGTTCAGTTCTAGTTCAGTTCTAGTTCAGTTCTAGTTCAGTTCTAGTTCAGTTCTAGTTCAGTTCTAGTTCAGTTCTAGTTCAGTTCTAGTTCAGTTCTAGTTTCTAGTTCAGTTCTAGTTCAGTTCTAGTTCAGTTCTAGTTCAGCTCTAGTTCAGTTCTAGTTCAGTTCTAGTTCAGTTCTAGTTCAGTTCTAGTTCAGTTCTAGTTCAGTTCTAGTTCAGTTCTAGTTCAGTTCTAGTTCAGTTCTAGTTCAGTTCTAGTTCAGTTCTAGTTCAGTTCTAGTTCAGTTCTAGTTCAGTTCTAGTTCAGTTCTAGTTCAGTTCTAGTTCAGTTCTAGTTCAGTTCTAGTTCAGTTCTAGTTCAGTTCTAGTTCGGTTCTAGTTCAGTTCTAGTTCAGTTCTAGTTCAGTTCTAGTTCAGTTCTAGTTCAGTTCTAGTTCAGTTCTAGTTCAGTTCTAGTTCAGTTCTAGTTCAGTTCTAGTTCAGTTCTAGTTCAGTTCTAGTTCAGTTCTAGTTCAGTTCTAGTTCAGTTCTAGTTCAGTTCTAGTTCAGTTCTAGTTCAGTTCTAGTTCAGTTCTAGTTCAGTTCTAGTTCAGTTCTAGTTCAGTTCTAGTTCAGTTCTAGTTCAGTTCTAGTTTAGTTCTAGTTCAGTTCTAGTTCAGTTCTAGATCAGTTCTAGTTCAGTTCTAGTTCAGTTCTAGTTTAGTTCTAGTTCAGTTCTAGTTCAGTTCTAGTTCAGTTCTAGTTTAGTTCTAGTTCAGTTCTAGTTCAGTTCTAGTTCAGTTCTAGTTCAGTTCTAGTTCAGTTCTAGTTCAGTTCTAGTTCAGTTCTAGTTCAGTTCTAGTTCAGTTCTAGTTCAGTCCTAGTTCAGTCTAGTTCAGTTCTAGTTCAGTTCTAGTTCAGTTCTAGTTCAGTTCTAGTTCAGTTCTAGTTCAGTTCTATTTCAGTTCTAGTTCAGTTCTAGTTCAGTTCTAGTTCAGTTCTAGTTCAGTTCTAGTTCAGTTCTAGTTCAGTTCTAGTTCAGTTCTAGTTCAGTTCTAGTTCAGTTCTAGTTCAGTTCTAGTTCAGTTCTAGTTCAGTTCTAGTTCAGTTCTAGTTCAGTTCTAGTTCAGTTCTAGTTCAGTTCTAGTTCAGTTCTAGTTCAGTTCTAGTTCAGTTCTAGTTCAGTTCTAGTTCAGTTCTAGTTCAGTTCTAGTTCAGTTCTAGTTCAGTTCTAGTTCAGTTCTAGTTCAGTTCTAGTTCAGTTCTAGTTCAGTTCTAGTTCAGTTCTAGTTCAGTTCTAGTTCAGTTCTAGTTTAGTTCTAGTTCAGTTCTAGTTCAGTTCTAGTTCAGTTCTAGTTCAGTTCAGTTCTCGTTCTAGTTTAGTTCTAGTTCAGTTCTAGTTCAGTTCTAGTTCAGTTCTAGTTCAGTTCTAGTTCAGTTCTAGTTCAGTTCTAGTTCAGTTCTAGTTCAGTTCTAGTTCAGTTCTAGTTCAGTTCTATTTCAGTTCTAGTTCAGTTCTTGTTCAGTTCTAGTTCAGTTCTAGTTCAGTTCTAGTTCAGTTCTAGTTCAGTTCTAGTTCAGTTCTAGTTCAGTTCTAGTTCAGTTCTAGTTCAGTTCTAGTTCAGTTCTAGTTCAGTTCTAGTTCAGTTCTAGTTCAGTTCTAGTTCAGTTCTAGTTCAGTTCTAGTTCAGTTCTAGTTCAGTTCTAGTTCAGTTCAGTTCAGTTCTAGTTCAGTTCTAGTTCAGTTCTAGTTCAGTTCTAGTTCAGTTCTAGTTCAGTTCTAGTTCAGTTCTTGTTCAGTTCTAGTTCAGTTCTAGTTCAGTTTTAGTTCAGTTCTAGTTCAGTTCTAGTTCAGTTCTAGTTCAGTTCTAGTTCAGTTCTAGTTCAGTTCTAGTTCAGTTCTAGTTCAGTTCTAGTTCAGTTCTAGTTCAGTTCTAGTTCAGTTCTTGTTCAGTTCTAGTTCTAGTTCAGTTCTAGTTCAGTTTTAGTTCAGTTCTAGTTCAGTTCTAGTTCAGTTCTTGTTCAGTTCTAGTTCAGTTCTAGTTCAGTTCTAGTTCAGTTCTAGTTCAGTTCTAGTTCAGTTCTAGTTCAGTTCTAGTTCAGTTCTAGTTCAGTTCTAGTTCAGTTCTAGTTCAGTTCTAGTTCAGTTCTAGTTCAGTTCTAGTTCAGTTCTAGTTCAGTTCTAGTTGAGTTCAGTTCTAGTTGAGTTCAGTTCTAGTTCAGTTCTAGTTCAGTTCTAGTTCAGTTCTAGTTCAGTTCTAGTTCAGTTCAGTTAGTTCAGTTCTAGTTCAGTTCTAGTTCTAGTTCAGTTCTAGTTCAGTTCTAGTTCAGTTCTAGTTCAGTTCTAGTTCAGTTCTAGTTCAGTTCTAGTTCAGTTCTAGTTCAGTTCTAGTTCAGTTCTAGTTCAGTTCTAGGTTAGTTCTAGTTCAGTTCTAGTTCCGTTCTAGTTCAGTTCTAGTTCAGTTCTAGTTCAGTTCTACTTCAGTTCTAGTTCAATTCTAGTTCACTTCTAGTTCTAGTTCTGTTTCTAGTTCAGTTCTATCTACTTTTCGATAACATTCTTGAAATTATTAATTAAAAACTCCCGTAAACATTAGACCCTTCTAAAGTACTATTTTTACCAGAGACTTATATAACAACTGTCACATTTTCTTCAATCCAAATTAAAAATCCTCTGCTCCTGGTAAATAAATTTCAAAAACAATAATCAGAATAAATATTGACATTACAGAACTTCTTTATTCAAGAGCGAACAATTAAAATAAATAAAAAAATATAAAACGAAATGAAATGAATCTCAATATCGATGACTAAATAAATTGACAAAATACATGCAGACACAAAGGAGAAAAAATGACAAGATGTACAAGAGTGCCAGCAAAAGAATTGTGTGATTTTTGAAATTTACACAGGGATTACAGCGACAAATGTGCGAAATTTTTGTATTGATGACGAAGAAGACTTGCAGGCAAATTGTGTGTAGATTACCCAGGAAAAACATGTACAATTTGTTTGTTTATAGTTTCAACATTTGTGTTTTATTTGCCAAAGTTTTGTTGAAAAAATATGTTCAAATTTTCTTGCAATGTTTGGATATGATTTGGACTACGGTTTATACGAAAAGGGATGATTGTGATTTGTTGGTTGTGTTATTTCGTAAATGATTGAATGAACAAATGTTGAGTGTTCTCATCATCGTCTGGTGTGTTGTAAATGTTATT